TAATGCCTCACACCGCTCTGCTTCTCGGCCTGGCCGTGGCTACCGTGTAACACTAGATAATGCCTCACACCGCTCTGCTTCTCGGCCTGGCCGTGGCTACCGTGTAACACTAGATAATGCCTCACACCGCTCTGCTTCTCGGCCTGGCCGTGGCTACCGTGTAACACTAGATACTGCGCTTTCAGCCCTAGGGAGGCTGGGTGGGGGTGGCTAGGGCTTGGGCCCACAATCCCAGGCTCTGGAGGTTGATGCCTTATCCATTAGGCCACGGGGACCCACCCTACCTCTCAGCCTTCTGCAGATGCCAGAAAGAAGGGAAAAAAGGGGGCACTTTTCACTGCAGGCCTTCTGGGAAGCAGCGAACGAACAAGATGCAACTACTTTTCCTTCTTCCTAGGACCTCTCTACACTTACCCCAAGATCCACGCTCTGGAGTTAGGGACGTGAAAGTTTAACCAGTTAACTGGGGAGGGGGCTGGGGGGCCCACTGTGGGCAGGGGCTGTTCTGGTCATCTGGAGCAGCCCCTGTCTATGACGGGCTAGGGCACCTCACAGATAGGGGTCTGTCTGCGGCAGGCCCAGGTGCCCCACAGCAGGGGCGGGGGGGCTGCTCTAGCCCAGCAGCTCCCCTGCACCCTCCCTTTCATCAGTGAACCTGTTAAACAATATGTTTAACCGGTTAATCAATTAAATGGGATTTTACATCCCTCTCCAATCAATCAATCTTCCGGGGTTCAATTTCGCAGGTCCAGTAAGGATGATGCCCCCATCTGGCATTGCAAGAAAGGGGAATCGACTGGAGAGTTTCTCCCATCGACCTCCGGCAATAGAGACACCCTGGAAATTCGACTTAAGTTACGTCAACTCACCCATGCTATTTGCCTAGCTGGAGTCGTGTCTCTTAGGTCGACTTTCTCCCCCAGGGTAGACCTGACCTTAGACAGACACATCTTGCCAAGTTTAGTTCCAAACCCGGACATCCCGCTCGCCCGTTATGCTTACTTCTGTAACGAGGCATCCACTGGACACCAGGGACCACATTCAGGCAACGTTCCTAAGATACACGGATTTACACTAGGAACGAATCTGTCCCGCAGATTTCATGATGGGAAAAATGTGAATTTTCCCACTG